ACCAAACATGTGTACATACCTAATCATTCTGAAAACGATCTACTATCTCAAGTCAGCAGCAACTTTGAATTTTTCTTCAGGGTGATCAAAGCACACATCCGAAAGCGCCATTCCCCACTTTTACCAATCGAACTCACCAGCACAACCACATCATGGTAATCTCACGATCCCAACAACTACTGTCAAGACTACATGACGCCTCCACACACCGGCCGAGCTACACTAAGAGGCAGGAGAGCGTTGGGACAGGCACAAATGAACGCCACCAACACTATAAGCCAATCATACTCCGAAGCAACCCTCCAAACCCCGGAAGACAACACCCACGCGGAGCGATTGAAAACTCCGAGCAGAAGGGAGGAAAAAATGGCGCAGGCGAGGCCCTTGCCAGCGTAAGCTTGCAGCCCTAATGCCACTAAGGGCATAGTCCACCGCGACCGACCGCCCTCAAATCTGTTCCCGGAGGCAAAAAAGGGCTGAGGCAGAACTCTCCAACTTCATTGTTTTGCATTTTATGCGGAGTTAGAAATTTGGTAGATGACGATAGTGCTACATGGATTATAACTTCAATCGAAGCTTTATTTTATCGCATTTATTAAACTATTTATCAATTTCTAGATAATGGAACGCATTGACTTATACATTAACACGTAACGGTAAAAAAGCAACTTCAATACAGGATTACAAGGTGTTTGAGGACATTTTACTCCCTTTTCTGCCTCCTTGCAAACGTTGAAACACATCTTTATATAGTAGAAGGAAAATGAATAAGTTTTTGTGGGCGTTGCTCATACATTTTTAAATGAGGTTGAGATAAAAACAATTTGTTTAAATCGTTTTAATATTTTAAATAATATTTTATTAATTAAGTGCGTCGTGACGTAGTAATGCGTTTATTCTCATATTGTGTTTGATACTGTAATGTAATTTCATAATCTGAGAATTCCGAGCAGGATAACCGTCTCTACAAACAGTGGGTAGTTCATTCACTAGATCTCCATAACCGAGCTGATTTTGTGAAATATCTTACTGTCTGAATGTTATATATTCAACTGATTGAGATTACATGTTTACTATTAACATAGACTATTTTTTGCTAAATTCATTAATTGTAATAGTTTCTCCTATTTACACATCCGTTTTTAAGTATAAACATTACACTTACTGTACTTTGCGTGAACGTTGGACTGGTATAAAACAAGATTCTTATACAATTTGAAATCCATTGTTGCCTCTTCTTGGGTACGATAAATGTTGTGAAAGAATTCTTCAAACTAGTTATTATTGGTTTCTATGAAATAAAATTTAATAACGGATGTAATGGCAGCACACACTATACCACAATCTGTTCTCGAAATGGTGAGAAATAACCTAAATTTCGTTGTATAGATAGACGGAGTTCACATCACATCTCTAAAATATTTTCATCTGTGTAATCTGTTGATGGATAAGCAGAAATTAGACTATGGATTTGTGTATGTTGAAGCAAGAAAAAAACAATGAAGTCATGTGGTTCGTAGAGAGAACATACGCTCGGGAAGAACAAGGTATTCGGGAACCGGTTTAGAACATACTGAATAGCAGAGTTAAAACTTCAGATGTAGGAATATATTTTCTGATGTTTTGTAGATTCTATTTCTTTATTTAGGATAGTCTTGGTCATAAAAACTAATTAAAAATAAATTAATATATAATTCTGTGAAGTATCTTTTATTTTACTTTCTACGTCCGAAGTGTGGATGTGTGAACCGTATGAACACGAGAACCGTGTGAAGAGAGTGAACCCTTTCAAGGAAATCATCAACTGCCAATAGTAGCAAACTCGGAGAAATTTTATACGCCAATTTGATTAATCGATAATAATTATAAAATTATTCTAAATATCGATAACGTCACTTGCCTTCATACGATTAACACGAGTATTCGCTTCTTCCTTACAATCGTAATGGGTTGCACGAGAGCAAAGTACCCCAAGGAAGTTTACATGTGTTCAAGGATAATAAAGTAATGTAATTTGGTACACGAGAAAAGCATAGACGCGTTCTGATATAATAAAATTATGTAATTTGGCAGATGAACGAATGTTATATCTTAATGAAATTTATCAAGTATTTTTATATTTAAATTTACTGCTACAAATTCAGAACATTTGTTATAGAATTGCTCATATTAAAGACATTTATTGTAAACTATGAAATGCAAACAAATATTTGTGATATCTTGTAGGAGAACAATGTTGATTTAAAAATGTACGCATATATTTCAACAAACGTTATAATTGTTCACACAGACTCAAAAAATTAATAATTTAGATAGAATTGAATTTTCGTCCACTTTTAATTTCGTAGAATGTTTCTTGGTTCAAATTTCCGGAGCTGATTTCACAACTTTTGTCATTTTTTTCTTGCACATCAGTTTGTGGTTTTTGTTCTTCTGTTCGTAAATAGTAATATTTTTACCAACTTTCACGGCAAACTTGTCCTAAAAAATAAGAGGAATATCAACTGAAGCATATTGTACATTTGTACTTGTTTTATGGGTTTATCCTCCTCAGACATTAGTATTCCTTGTTGGATTACGTTACCTCAAATGAAGATCATTGCAAGGGCTAGTGAGAAATGTGTCAGCCGGATCTCAATGCGAGGGTACCGTAGGAGTTTTGGGGCCCTAGTGTCATAAGACTGATTTTAAAAAGTCTAAGAATTCACAGATAGCCTGAAACCACATAGCGAGCAATGAAATTAGTGGATAAAGGTAGAGGGAAATGTACATAAAATCACAATAATATAGACGGAAACAAGACTGTACTTATACAAATATAGTCTGGGGTCTAAATCCTCCCAAACGACCTCTCCCAGTTTAAATCTACAACGTCCGCACCGCCAAACTGCCGGAAACCTCTTACAGAATCCTCTCACTCTTCATTCATTGTAACAATCACAATGCTCCAATTACAGCAGCATAATTACACAAAGAAGACGCAAAATTTTCTCCGCTTGTGTCTTCAGGCAAGGGAAATAGGAGGTGGCCCACCTTCGTGGGTGCGTTCAGTTCCTTTAATTTTCAGACAACAATTTTGCGGTGCAGGGAGGCGAAATTTCAATTTAATTTTCTTGATATTTAAATGAGGGGGAGCTGCGTCGGGGAATGGAGTAATTAATTCTGAAGTCGGCCGTGGCGCGTGCGGCGAGCGACGGAATAATGCACGGACAGGCGGAAGCGCCGAGTGCCAGTCGCTCGCGTATTTGAACAGCGTAATTAAGGGTAGGGCGATGGCCGCGAGGCGGACCGCGGCGACCTCGAGTCGGCAGCGAAACGGGGCCTGAAAGCAGACGAGAAGAAACAATGGAAAAGTTGGAAAAAAATTATCGTAGGTAAATAAAGAGATGTTGATATAGATGGTACTCACCAGGATAGCCGAGATGGTTAAGAGTGAACTGACTCAGCCGCTTCGGTCCAAAGCGTCCCGAGTGTGAGCCGCCTTAAGCGTGGTTGTTTGTCCCATGTTTCTCATTTATGTGTTGTTGCGGCGGGCCTCGCTTTCTTCTGACCGCAGATCATAGGAGCCTGCAAGTGTGATGGTGTTTAGTGTATGGTCGAATAATCGGGAAGTAAGGGATAACCGGTTGTCGGCTGGTAGGTCGCACTGAGCCGTAGAAAAACACGAAGATGGTTAAGAGAACAAGAAATAGCACTGGTAGGACGTTGATGGTGAAAAGCATAGGGAAATATAATGTAGGATGAGAAAGGAGAAAGTGGTAGATTATAGAGCCACCAAGGGCGTTAGTGTATGAATTAGCAAATCTTCACATAAAGTTTCTGGTAAGTCGAGGTTCTATTTTCCACGCCCAACAGTCACGTAGGAATTTAGACGCCAGTTCTGTCGTCATTGTCTGGATGAGAATTCCAGGGGTCTTTTACACTGATCTGTCGTTTTCATGTTTTCTTGCAATGTATTTCAAGCGAAAGTCGGAGATGTATATCTTAGCCCTAGTAATGCAAATATTTAGTAGGTCCTGTGTATTATCAAGGATGTAAAGGGCCTCCGCGGCCCATCTCTTAAATTTTGATTTTATTGATGTTTTTGACGGTTTTGATAAATTAAAATATTCGTAAAATTAATAATATATTTACATTTACTAAAAAATATTCAATTTGTGTCTCTTTATATGGAGAAAATATCGATTTTCTTGCATTAAGAGTTATATTTAATTACAAAAACGAATAATACTTTTATACCAAAATAAAAGCTGATGTATCTTCATAACTTAATCATGTATTAAATTTGACTAAACTGACTACAAATATTTCCAAAATGCTCCTGAAAAAACATTTTCTGCATGTTAAATTTTCAAGGAAATAGTCCTGATTTCATTATTTCCCCTGCCAAACACGCTTGTAAAACACAATAACAATCAGCTGTGATAGATTGCACTATACGTTCTTTAAAAAACAAATATTATCAATAATTTTCAGCTTCCTAAAAAATTTAAACCTATGAAACCTATAATTGAAGTTGATGATGACTATTGTAGATTGATAGAATTAAGGCTTCCTTTACTTATTGACAATAAATTATAATTAAAACTTTTTATTTTGTTGCGCAGCAACGTTTAGAGGTAAAGTTAGCCCCATCAGACAGCCATATTGAAACCTCAAATACAAAAATGTTTAAAAGAGGTGTCAGTGACTGAGAAAAGAGATTGAATGAGATAGGATGATGATAATGAACGTGGTAGGGACAAGATAAAACACAGTGAGGAAGGGAAAATATTTTTTGTTATTTACATTGGGAAACACGTACTTAGCCCCTTAGCAACCAACTATCACAATAACACTTTAACAGCACGTCCATTGAAACAATTAAAATGATACAGAGTCCGTTAAAAATGTTGGCGGACTGTCTGGTTTAGAGCTTGGAATAAATATGCCGTTGGCACATAACAAAATTTTTGGGAATATATGCAATCAAAATTTTGTTTGCTATTATTTTTGTACAGATATATTGAAAGTAGTATGCTAGCATAATCTCTTCGTTAATGCCTCTAACATTTCTTTTCTTTCACCAATCAAAAAATAATCATAAGCTTTTTCATAAGTGGTTACAAATTTAGAAGGCATCAAACAAGAGCTTGCAGCTTCTTCTTCCCCTAGAATATCATATTGCCCGAAAATATATTCTAATACTTCAAAATTCCCGTATATTTTTTCCCAATCACCTTGCATTATGAGAAAAAGCTTTCGACTGTTTGATCACAAACAAAACATCCAATATCACCAACCCTCGCTACAGAAAATCGAGAATAATGACATTTCTTAACTCATGAAAGTGATAAAATTTTATTTTAAAAACGCAATAAACTAGAAATAACAAAAAACATTGTATGTAACGTGGCCTCTATTAGTCTTTAAGATCTCAACCGGACATTCCGGCTTCGTTCTTAAAGACTTATTTCGAGGCCTCGTGACTAAATAACTATTATCTCATTAGGAATTTAATGAAATTTCTCATTACTTACTTACTCTTATGTTAACATAAAATTATTCAGCTACATTGCGGTCTTCTTATGACGTTTCATGCGGCAGATAAAAAACAGATATTGAATCGAATAGTATTTATTTATTAACTGAAGAAAAAAGAAATCGTTAGAAAGCCGAAGTAATAAAGCAAATGAGACGCATGTTCTCCCCAGTAAATATATATTTGAGGTGGCAAACAGAACACATGTAACGTAAGTGCATCTATTATGCAAATGAGAAATCTAAAAATCTGTTATTGGTAGACGCCTCTCCCAGTGAGGAATATGCGAGTGTCTCAGAGCTTCGTCCCCCAAGCTATGCATTCCGGATGTGTGAATGCGTTGTTCGTTGCCGTTCTGTCTGCAACCCTGTCCCTCCGCTGCATATTTCAAAAAGCATAAATTGTGGAGGGCCCTGGAGGCCCGTCACTCACCTGGGGTGCGAAGGGTCAGCTTATGGCGTCGGTAGGATGGCAAGAGTCGCTTCTCCATGAAAACATGGCTGAACTACTTTGCGCCCTCTCTGCCTTTGCCGTCCTCTCTGCCTTTTCCCTCGCTGCTCCATCTACCCTTACCGCTCTCGCTGCCCCGCACACTCTTGCCTCTTCGTCTGATAAACAAAGCAATGTTGCTACAATAATATACGTACACATGACGAACAAAGTATTGTTAAATTGTATCTGAAACGTAACATCCTCTTTTCTCCCATTTCTATCCTTTTCTTCTTTCCTATTGATGTTATCAAAATTCCTTATTCTCGCCTCATTTCTTCGGTTTCGCTTTTGTGAACCGCGCAATCTTTTCGCATTTTCTCCAGTTCCTCCCAGATCCCCTTTCTCGTCCGTGCGGGGCTGCTCTAAGGCCGCAGACTGCTCGCGGAGGTTTACGGCACGCAAGCAGCCGTGCGTCGCGTCCAGGCAACGAGCGCATTTAATAAGCCGCGTCCCCACGAGGAACTCGACTCCGCCTTAATATCTCGCGTCTCCCACGCACTAAGTTTCTGACAGTTTTCCGCGAATCTGAGTCACGGGGCTCATTATTATGCTCCATAATTTAGCGTCGCTCGGATTTTTTTCTTTTGCTAGCTTCCGCCTCCGGAAAGGCTCCGGGCGAAGACGATGGGGGGGGCGAAAGAAACACCGGAGACGCTGGAGCTGGGGGACTTCGCGGAGTGGGAAGGGAAAAACGGTCTCGGATGGCTCTGGAGATGGTGGGAGGGAGTGAGAAGGCAGTAGACAAAATGAAACACGAGGTCTGTGATTGTTCTTAGCTAAAAGGGTTATTGACTCAAACCACGCCGCCTCTTGCAAATATTCCTTTGCTAACGCAAACACCCTGGGGCAGCATGTAGTATAGTGGTCGTTCCCACCTCTGTGAGCCGGAATTCATATTTCGGTCGATCCATGTGGAATTTTTGTTGGACAAATCGGATAGGTGTCAGATTTTCTCGAGTTTCTCACATATATTCTGCTTCTCATTGCCTATTGCTCCATAATCATTCATATCATCACTAACCTGTGGAAATCATTTCATCCTCTCGATATGGCTATAAGACTGTATGGTACTGTAAATAATGAATATATATATAATGACCAACTGAGATTTTCTAAAAAGCCTCAATTAGACCACTGATCATAATGTTCTACCTTTTATTTAACCGATATCTGCGCTTTTTACATGTCTTCTTAAATTCACAACTCTTTAGGTTTGAAATGGAACTGATTTGGGGGACGTCATTACTTATTTTGTCGACTGCAATCACTACAGATGTGGATGATTTGAGAGTCTACTAGAAAACAATCTGCTTCTTTTTTTGCATCAGATATGTTTATAGATTGAATTAATGTACAAAGCGTTCTTGAAGGAAGCAATCGTCTAAATTGTGATTGTGAATATTGTTACACAAACAAAGTAGTCGGTACTAGGCAACCGATGAAATTAATGAAGAAACAATGGAGACAGTGGAGGAAGTAGAAAATTATGGTTAGTGGTCGAGATGGGACTGCTGAGGTGGTAAAGGAAGAAAGTGTTGTTGATGGATATTTGGATTAAGGATGTAGTTGTGGGAGTAGAGTGAAAGTAAAACTGCAGAAGAGGTAAATTTCCCGGGGTAGTTGGATTAAAACACTTGGGAATATGTATACATAAGAGCCTTAGTTAAAATATGTATGCTGGAAATATGACAAACGTGGAAAATAATTACAAATAAGAATGAGTATAATGATAGATATATAGCCTGCGGGATAATTAAATGCGACTGAAAGAATACGATAGATAGCAGCGAACTTACTTGAGCGCTGAAGTTGCTATGAAATTCGGCAAAAATTGTCTCTGATTGTACAGTAATGGTATGGTAAAGAGCAAGATAGAGAGAGATAGGTATCCAGGGTAAAGACGGAAGGAGTGAATAGCAGAGGTATTGAGTGTTCTGTCAGCAACAGAAGATAACTAAAAAAATGCATAGATATACTGAGAGCTGATAATTTAACACAATGAAAACACGATAATGGTGTTAGTAACAGAAGTGGTAATGGCCACGCTACAATGGCACAGACAAATAGTCACAGAAAGTCTTAGAAACTAGAAGAAAACATCAGTGTCGATGGCATTGAGAACGAAACTTGAGACGTCAAATAGGATGACATTATCTAGGATGGCAACTGATAGCGCAATTTGCACGGCAACTGGGACCACCCCTGAAAAGACCGCTGAGACGACCATTCGGACGACCTCTCGGGTGACCACTGGAAAGACCACCAGAAAAAAAACACTAGGAAAATCACTGGAACGGCAACTGGAACAGCAACTGGGGCGGCAACTAGAGCAACCTTTGAGACGACCACTGGGACAATCACTCGGACGACCTTGGGTCAACAACGGGCGACTTCTCAGATGAACTCCGGGGCGACCGCTGTGACAACCACTGGAACGACCACTGAAACGACCATTCGGAAGACCACTGGAATGGCAACTTGGGACGGCAACTGGGACGACTTCTTGGACGACTAATCGGATGACGTAACTGGGAACCATTGGGCGACCACTGGAACTACCACTTGGAACCATTCGAAAGACCACTGGAATGGCAACCCATGAGAAAAAAGGAACAACGCTTGGCGGGCAGGCACGGTGCCTGGAACGATGGGTGGGTCGACGGTGGCAGCAGGGGTGGGAGTTCCCTGGGCTCCACGTTGCGGCGGGGCTCTCGCGCTGCGCGTCGGCGGTAGGGGAGGAGAGGCCGAGGGGCGAGAGGCCGGGGTTTGCTTGTTTGACGAGACGGGCCGTCTAGGCGTCGCGCCCGCGCCGCTGCCGCTTGTTTCTCCTTTACGGCTCGGAACGCGAGCGAAGCCGCGGAGCAGGGCTGGGCGCAGACGGGTGCGTGGGGAGCGAAGAAAGGGCGAACGGACGGGGCATGGGCGGGGCGACGATAGGGCTGACGCGGCTGTTGCTGCGTGAGGCTTATACGAAAGATGGCCAACTCGCCGCCGCGTTACGAAGCCCGGACGGTGTGGCTCGCGCAGCTGGCAGAGCAGAATGGATGGCAAGAGGCAGAGGAAAGATTTGTCGTGGGTCAGGAATCGAGAACGTAGTCACAGTGGATGGAGTTTAGAAACGAAAATCTTGGGTTCTAAATTTGAGTCAACATACTCACGTTTTGTGCCTATTAACGACCCCCGACACGAGCTAAATTATTCGGCATTTTTGAATTTGACACCAATTCGATGGCAATACTAACGTTTGTTTGACACCTACCAGTAACACCAACCAGCGTAATAATACAACAAATGTCAGTCACACTGTCAACCATTACTTGTGATTTTTCCTGGACGAACGAATATTTTGATCTGATTGGGGCGGAAATTACCCGAGGGTTTGGTTTTACTCGGCATTTCGTAGGTCTCTTTTTTCTACATTCCAAGACCATGTGATGGCAAACTAAGGATTTTACACGAGTCCCAGCCTTCCAATGAGGATTTCAATATTCACTACCTTCAGTCGGATTCAGTTTAATGTGATAAATCCCATACCATTGAAGGACTAAGGTATGTATTGTAGGAATGTAATGAATTGAAAGTGCTAGAATAGACAAGCAAGAACATTGAACAGTGTGAGTCTTGCAAACGTGTTTTCTGCACAGTATTGATATTACGTGTAAATCAAACGTCTAAAAATTTCACTTCAAAAACGAGAGTGTTATAATGCATGTAATCATGATAATGGACATATCGACACAGTGTAAAGTAAATGAAATGTAAACATGCAGGTTTGTGATGTTTGGAATCATGTACAACTGCGAAGCGCATTAAGCTGCTTATTGAAAGTAGTTGCAGTAACAGATGAGCTACTACACAGGTATGCATTTTATTGTAAGAACTTACTTTCAGTATAATAAGTATTGATTAAAAAACATAAATTCCACTCTTTTCTATAGTTACTATTCATCATTGTCCGATTTGGTATTTTCTCTTAGAGAAATTATTTCCCTTTTTTC